TATCAGAATATATATATATTTTTTTTTATTTTTGAGACAGGGTTTCTCTGTGTAGCCTGGGCTGTCCTGGAACTCACTCTGTAGACCAGGCTGGCCTCGAACTCAGAAATCCGCCTGTCTCTGCCTCCCAAGTGCTGGGATTAAAGGCCTGCGCCACCACTGCCCGGCCGGAATATATTTTTTATCCTTTGTTTCAAAATGTCAGATATATGAAGAATACCAACAGCATCCAAAGAAATATTACCCTGACCCCTTTAAATAAAGACTCATCCACTATATATAGCTTTAAGTATCTGAAAACTTCATTATATCTGAGTATTTCATACTGAATTGTAATATAAAATTCTATTTTCCCTAGTTAAGGTACTGTTCAGTATCATTACATTAATTTTTCAAAATAAAAAGTGTACTATTCATCCAGCTTGCTTTTGTATTCATGCAGAGAAATGGTCTACATGGTCTGCATTAGTCAACTTTCTGTCAAAATAACAAAGTATCTAACAAACAGTTGGGGTTGGGCTGGGTCAGGGGTAGAGCATACACGAGGCCCTCTGTCCAATCCCAGGCACAGAGAGATGGGGAGGGGCATCTGGCTCATGGTAATGGTTATCCATGTTCATGGTTGGTTAGCCATGCTGTTTCGGATCTGTGGTGAGAAACTAGTAACTTACCTTTTAGCCTTTGTTTTAGACCGACGTCCATGATTGGACAGTGCTGTCCTGACAGATGAACTAGAAGCTTCCTCTCTTTCCCTGTGTGCTTCCCAAAGTTGTGCCAGAGCCATGTGTGACTACTGAGCACTTAGAATGTGGCCAGTGTGGTAGGGTGGCTAAAGAAACGGATCTGTAGCTTTGCTTGTAGGTGGGGGATAAAACTACTCGCCTCCTGACCAGGAGGCAAAGGAAGAAGAAAGGGTCAGGAGCCCAGTGATACTGCCCCCAGGAGCTCACCCAACTCACTTTATTGCACGAGGCCCTACCTCCTAAAAAGCTCCATCACCTCCCAGTAAGACCAAGCTGACACCAAATCTTCAACACACTGGCTTCCAGGAAACAGTCCAGATCTCCATGGCTCCAGACTGTTAGAGTCTGGATACTCTGACCTCTGTGCAAAGGAAGCCTGTCTGAGAGGAACCCTGCTCTGAAGATGCCTCAAACTACTGCTTGTTAACTAGTATTTGAGCACGTTAGCCTCCAGACTGCCCAGGCCTCAGGCCTGTTTGCCATATGTATATAAAAGTCTGTTACTTAATTACTGTTCTCCCTTAAGTTCATTCTCTCTCTCTCTCTCTCTCTCTCTCTCTCTCTCTCTCTCTCTCTCTGTCTCTCTCTCTCTCTCTGCACTGCTGGGATGGAACCCAGATCCTCACACATGCTAGACAAACTCTACTCCTGGCTACACTTCCAGCCCAGCTTAAATAATTTTAAAAGGAAGTCATATCACTATTATAAAGTTTAAAAGATAATAAAACTAATGTGCTCACTGTTTTTAGGAAACATTTGAAATAAATGGTTAGCTGGATACACTCAGTCTCCCTATTCATCTGGTTGCTTCCTAACCTCACCCTGAACATCAGCGAAGACAGGGACTCCATTGTTTCATTTCATCATAGGATCCCCCCCAAAATGTCCAACCCAGGGTAGAGCTCCATTATTGTTCACTGGTAAACACCTGGGAAATGAAGTAAGACAGCTCAGAAGGGGGTGAGGGAGCTGTAGAGTTCAGATAGCAAAGACATGGGCCTGCAGGCTGGTGGGAGCTTCTGGGGCCCCTTGGCATCACCAAACTAAGAAGGAAGTCTGTCAGAGGAAGCTGGGAGCTTCTGGGATGGAAAGAAAAATGCAACATCTGGCTCCTGTCAGACTGTTTAAGCCCCTGGGCTGGCAGCCAGATGTGGCCATGGACTGCAACATGGAAGCTATCAGAGACTCACTAGAGTTCCAGGAGGGTGTGGCTATGGCCAGCTGCAGGGAACACCCAGCCACATAGAGGACTTGAGTCTGAGGAACAGTGAATGTCACCAGAGTTCATTTCTCCAGATCCATCTAGCCACTGGGGAGGCTCCAACAAGGCCTTCCAGGTCATGGGCATCCTGGTGTCTCCCAGAGACACCCTTACTCTACTAAGGATCCCAAAAGAGAATGGTACCTAGTGAAGTAGGGGTCCCCCTAGAGAACACAGTCCAGGGAAGTACAGCATGTCTCCTGGTGACTAACAAGGGGGCCTGCAGCTCTGTCAACCATGGAGGACTCAGAGAAATCCCAGTTAGCAGGCAAGAGCCACATGGAACCCTCAGAAAATGGTTCCAAAGTTTGTCCTTACCATGAACCTGTCTCATGGAGTTCCTCTTCCTAAATCCATGTATGTGACCTGTAGTCTCCTGAAGCTAACAGTAGCTATGCTGTGTTACTCTGGGGGGGGGGTTCCTTTTCCTTCTCTTCTTTGTGAAATGATGACAATGACATTACTTATTGCTATGGTTGACATGTGGAATGTCCCCACAGGTTCATGTTTAGACATATAGTCCCAAGATGCCTGGGGAGGTTAGAGAACCTCAGGGAGATGAAGATAAGCTTGAAGAAGTTGGAGTAGGGAGAGCCAAGGGACAGGAATGATAGCTAGTTGTAAGTCAGTTTGACATGACTAGAGTCATTTAGGAAGAGGGGACCTAGCTGAGAAAATGTCCCTACCAGATCTGCCTGTTACGAGCCTTTGCTGTATATTTTTATTTAGTGACTGATGTGGGAGGGTCTTTTTTTTTCATGGTCTATGTTTGTTTTTTTATTCTAGTAAGTCATCAATAGCTTTATGACACAATCATTTATAAACACTTGTTAATCACCACCCTTCCAAGCAGAGGCAACTTCAGGAGCTAACACACGTCCTGTTTTTATTATTGTCATGTGGCTGTCAGGTGAATAAAAACAAATAGTAAGAACACAGTCAAGGAAAACTGAGACACAAACCTTTCCATCTTCAGACTGGAAAAATGTGGCACCACTGTCGGTGGTGCCATCCCTGTGCAGGTGGTCCTGGGTTCTCTTAAGAAAGCAGGCTGAGCAAGCCGTGGTGAGCAAGCCAGTAAGCAGTGCTCCGTGGCCTCTGCAGCAGCTCCTGCCTTCAGGTGTGTGCCTTGATTTCCTGCCCTGACATCCCCAAATGATGGATTGTAAGCTGTAAAATGAAATAAACCCTTTTCTTCCCAAGTTGCTTCTGGTCATGGTGTTGGTCACAGCAGTAGGGACCCTGACTAAGAGACAGGACTTTTGGATTGTAGCCCCATTTCCTTCCCAGACTCTGCTTCCTGGCCCAAGAGACACAAGACAAAGTTGCCTCGCACCCCCACCAACACAGCGGGACTACTACACCCTTCCACAGGATCATGGAAAACAAAAGTTCAAAACATAGGAACCTTGGAGTATCTTGGAGACCGATTGAAAATAAAGTAGGTTTTCCAAAACCCAGAGAGGAGAGATTCTTCCATTAAAGGATTTTAGGGCCAAGAAGTTGAACTTAATTAAAAGTGAGAGTATGGTAGGAAAAAAAAAGCCTGTCCTATAGGGCTTGAGAGATGTCTCAGCCTTTGAAAGCATTGGCTGCTCTTCCAGAGGATCCAGGCTCAGTTCCCAGTACCCGAATGATGCTCATAGCCATCTGTAACATCAGTTCCAATGGATCCAACACCCTTTATAGGCCTCCATGGGCAACAGACACGCATGCAGGCAAAACAACCATATACTTAAAATAAATTAATTTTAAAATTGTTTTGCCCATACCAGAGAGATGGCACGGCCATCAGGAATCCTCACTGTTCTTGCCGAGGATCCAGGTTCAGTTCCCAGCCCCCACATGCAGGCTCACAACTATTTGTAACTCCAGTTTCCAGCTCCTACACTCTCTTCTGGCTTCCTTGGGCACCAGGCACTCATGTGGTACACAGATATGTATGCAGGCAAAACATTCATATACAGAAAATAAAAATAAATCTTTTTTTTTAATGTCAACCATCTTTAGTCCAGAATCAGGTGGCTGCAGGACTGGCTACCTCAACCTCTAAAGGTGTGGGGCACCTACCCACTACTAGGTAATCCTTCCAGACACTTGCACATGGTCACAGTATAACAGCCACAACCCGATTCACTCATGGTCACAATATGACTGCTACAACCCCAAGTACACATCACCGCATGACCAAAAGCAAAACCAAATGTCCTTTCTCGTGATTCTTGTTATACAGATGAAAATCTGTCCTGAAGTGTCTGCAGAAGACTTTGCCTTTCATTCCTGTTTTGTTTTGTTTTGTTTTGTTTTGTTTTTAACAAAATCTCAATCATTCAGTTTTACCAATGAGGACTCAGGAGCCTGCTGAGGTGAAAGCCTGCTAGGCAGAGAGGCAGAGAAAGCACCCAGCTAACCTTTCTCCTCAGCCTACAAAGTCCCAGAAACATTGCCCCTCTCTCATGCCGCCACCCCCCCCAAAAAAAAAAACCTCCTTCCAACTGAATGTCCCTCCTTTCTACTTCCTGTGCATCTCTATCCACCGTCCTGACTCCCTCTTACTCTCTGTCTTTTTCTTAATACTCCTCTATCCACTTCCTGTCAACTGATTGTTTGCTCCACCTCTTTTTGTTTGTTTGTTTGTTTTGTTTTGTTCTGCTCCACCTCTTGACCTATGGTTGACTTTACTTAATTCTGTTTACAGCACTGCAGCAGAAAGCTCTTGAACTAAAGGTGTGCGCTAGGGCTGAACCACACCACAACTAAAAACAGGGTTTTCCGGTTAATGACACAATCTCAGCATTCACAGTGTGATCAAATATCCTGAAACACATCCCATTCTCTAAAATTGAGTTTCATGTCTGTTCCCGATTGGCAAGAAAAGTGGGACATGTCTTAACATTCTTTTTGGCCTATGGAAGGCTGCCTTTGCCAGCACAGTGGTGTAGATCAAGGGTGGCTTACCTGTGCAGAGTAAGAACATGTCTCTCCCCTACCCACAGGTCAGAAGGGCCTCAGTTCCTAACACCCCCACAAGCCAGTCAAAGGCTAGGAAACAAGAATGGTGTACCTACAGCTAGAGAAACCAGAGATTCGGACACCACTCCAGAGGGAGTCCAGCCGTCAGACAGCAGCTTAAGGAGCAGAGACACAGATGAAGGTCAGTCCCCCATGCCCAGCCTGCTGCCAGGCCCATGGTCAATGAGGCCATGCCCCATCCCTGTTCTCAAGGGCTGAAGTATCAGAGCTATCTTGAGTCCATAGATTTGGGGCCATCCCCAATGCCTGGCCTGCTCCCCCAGCCCTGAGATCAGTCACTGTCAGCAGACATGCCTCCTGGCTCCAGCCCATATCCTGCCCCCAAGCCAGGAAGACCAGCCCTCATCTGAGTTCGTTTTGACCATATTCTTCACTGACTTGCACTGTGTCCCAGCTCTTCCAGAATCTTCACTGTGGCTGGAGAGGGCTGCCTCTGGTTGGTACAGCATGATAGGTACCCAGAGCTGGAATACAGAAGGGTCAGGGTCTCTGAGAGTCTCTGATCTGCAAATGGGCACAAGGACTTTGGCTGGGCAATAGGACAGGGCAGCTGCCATAACCTACACCAGTCAGGATGGAGTTCATCAAAGCTCAGCAGTTTGGGAGACCACAGGCCACATATTGGACACTTCTTCTACAACCCCCCAAAACTGAGAACTGACATATTACCAGCTTCCCACAAAGCTCTATCCAGGTCCCCAATCCAGGTCACACATCCTGAAGTAGAACTGATGCTTGACCATGACACCAAAGATACATTTTATGTGTCACCTAAGGAAACAGGGGCTGTATCTCAAGGACTTCCATGCAGTTCCCTAGGGCCTGGGCCAGTATCATGGTGTCACCAGTGCCTCACTTCATACATGTTCTCAAGGAGGACTGGATGGTCCCCATGCTGGGTCTCCAGTCCCTAGATGTTATGTTTCCCCTGCAGAAGATGAGCAGCTGTTCCGCTCCGTGGAAGGCCAGGCCGCCTCTGAGGAGGAAGAGGAAGAAAGGTGGCAGGAAAAGCCAGGGCGCCCACAGGCCCACAGTGAGGTATCCCTGGTGCAGCCTTCAGGCTGTGTAAGTAGGTAAGTGCCTGGTTAGCCCTAGGCTGCCAAAAAGCACAAAGCAGCAGAAAGGCAGTTTCTCCTTCACGCTGGCTTCATTGTGGGAAGCTGATAGTTCTAGCGCACAGCCACACTTAGCTCCCAACAGCCCTTCCTGGGAGTCATCGCTCAGAAGTGGGAACACATCCCGCCAAGTGCACAGATGAGATGAGGAGACGTTCAAGCCTGTGGGTGAATTTAGGTCCCACTGGCCATCGCTCCCTTGACCACTGTCCCCAAGACCCACCCATTCCTGTCACTTTTGAGCTATCCATCACTTTCTTCAGCACCGTTCAAAGCCCTCCTCTTCCCCAACCTGGCCCTGGGCTGGTTCTTTCTCAGCTACCCACTGGCAAGATCCCTGTACCATCTTCGAGGATAATGAAAACGGGCTTGGTACCCATGGGTATCTCAGCTTGCCTGATTTTCCTGGTCTCCTTGGTCAGACGAGTCTGTAACACCATCTTCATGAGGATTTGAGGCCAGGGTGTAAGATGCCTTCAGGGACAGCACGGTTATTACATTGTAAAGTACCACTGGCTTTCTGGGGCGGTGGTATCACCCATTATTTATGTTCATACAAAGGACTTGTTGAGTAGCTACTTGTGTGCCAGGCAAAATTAGAGACATTGGGGAAAAAAAAACCCAACAAATGGCTACCCTGCTGTCCTAGAGTCTCTACTGCAGGGAGGGAGGTAAGAAGACAATATGGAGACAGGGGAGGTGCGAGGAGAGCTGGAAGGAAGAGCAACCAAAGGCTCTGGGGCATGCTGGGGGGCCTGGGAAGTCCATTGGCTGGGCAGACTGAGTGAGGTAGGTGAGTGAGAGGGTGCTAGGAAGGTTGTAGGGGACACCTCTGGCTGTTCCTCTGAGAAGCCAAGGAGCCACAGGAAATGCTGAGCTGACAGGCTCCATGACATCTGCCGGCAAAGGCTGGAGCACCAGGACAGTGGGGTCCCTGCAGTGCTGACCTCTCCTTTCCTACAGACGTGACAACCAGACAGCTGAGACGCTCAAGGCTTCCTTTGGCCACTGTGATGGTGCTGAGCACATCTGCACCCTAGAGCTGGAGACCCATGTCACCAGGCTTGGGGAACAGCTGCAGACCCTGGGCTGCAGCAGAGAGACCCTGGAGACACCGGAGGAGGAGGAGGTCAGCAGGGCCCTAAGATGTCTTACAGCTGGAGGGACTTTCGGTCTTATAGCCCATTCACAGAGATGTGACCAGAACTCAGGAGGTGTGGTTTCCTCCAATTTCACTTAATGGGAACTTTGACTGACAGTTACAGAATCCCATCCCAGATAAACTAGATTACAGAGCAGGAGCTTATAAGAACTGAGCGGGTCATGGGCTGCAGGCCCAGCTGGCCAGACGCAGAATAAACATGGTTGTTCCCTTTCTGTGACTCTCTGAAGCCTCAGCCTTGAGTCACAGACTGAAAAATTTAGGGATCATCAAGGATGGAGTCTTTTAAAGAATTATTTGTTTATGTTATGTATATGAATACACTGTAGCTGTCTTCAGACACTCCAGAAGAGGGCATCCAATCCCATTACAAATGGTTGTGAGCCACCACATGGTTGCTGGGACTTACACTCAGGACCTCGGTGGTCTTAACTGCTGAGCCATTTCTCCAGCCCCTAAGGATGGAGTTTTAACAAGTTAAAGATCTCAGCTAGCTCTAGTTGTGATTCTAGAACCAGGGAATACCTTAGCCCATTGAGCAGTGAGTGTCCAATAAACTAGGACCAGCCGTGCCCCTGTGAGAAAGGACCACAGGGTGACTTATAGATGACAGGAAATGCCAGGGTCCTACAGTTCATGTGGTTTTGGTAAGGATGAAGGTCAAACTATCATACCAGACCCATAGGCAAAGTCCCTCCTGACTTCTCCTGGGACATATGACAACCAGGTCTCTCTGTCAATTTAAGAGTCTGCCCTCAGGATCTCCACCCCTACATTCTACCCCTCACCCCCAGGGAGAAGCTAAGCCATGGGCAGTGAAAAGTCACAGGTCAGAGCAGGGTTCCACAGTGTATGCTAGAGCAGGCTGCCTGGCTTCAGTCCCAACTCTAGTAGCTGCATGACCTTGTTAGGATTCTTCAGCATCTCCATGCCTTGGTGTCCACGCTTGTAACATGCCACTATGCATGTGTCAAGTGCGTATAGATGTGGGTAGTGAGCTCTTGGTGGTTCAGCTCTGACTGTCACTGCCTGGCAAAGACCCCCCTGGGATTCTAGGTTTGTTTGCTATTTCAGGCTGTTTCTATTTTCACCCCAGTGCTGTTCCCGGAGACCTCGATCCTGCTGCCCAGGATTCCCCCCCCCCCACCCCAGGAGGAAAAAGCTGCTGTCCTTGGGGAAGAGGCTCCATTAGATGTAAAGTATGAACTGGCAGGCAGGGAACGAACGCCCAGGGGAAGGCGAAGCTGTCACTTTTCTAAGTAAACTTTAAGTTGGCAGAGCAGGAGAGTTCCAGAAGGGTCAGCCTCTAGTCCTGCCTGCAAGTGGAAGCACAGGGCCTTTTGTACTCCTACCCGAAGCCAGAGGGACTCCTGAGCTGCCTGGTACCAAGGGGTGTGTGTCACATCACATGCATGATTTAGAAGAGAAACATAAGACATTTCCCCTGTCATTGACCCTGGGATCCTGGAAGAGCTCCCAGCCACATTTTGTGGAAAGTGGACATGTCCCTGGAATGTCCTTTGAGCCAGAACCCTTGGACAAGATAGAATGGGAACAGTCCACTAGCCTGTAGTGTGTTCCTTCTGTGTAAGCCAATCACGCTGGTTTCTACCAGTTGCCACCAACACAGATTCATGAAAAGGAAATCAAGAGGTAGAAAAGCAGAGAGAGAACGGAGTCATTAGACTAGAGAACAAAATATGTGTATGTGTGTGCACATGTGCATGTGTGTGTGCATAAGTGTGTGTGTGGGCATGTGTGTCCGTGTGTGTGTGTATGTGTGTGTGTGTGTCTGTGTGTGTGTGCTCACTGTCCTACTCACTGTGCAGTTTTGGGCAGGTGCTTAGCTTCTCTGGTCTCAGGGTGGTTTATCTGCATGGCTGCCTTACATGCAGACCAGACTAGGTGATCTCTGCAAAAGTGTCTGGGAGGCAGGCAGCCTTTCCGGGGAGCTATGAACATCCGTCATGGAGAAGGGGTTTAGGAAATGCACCGAGACCCTGTCTCCCAGGCAGAACTGCAGCAGATGGTGGAAACTGAGCATCTGAGGCTGGAGCTGCAGATGGTAGAGACGGAGAGGGTCCGGCTGTCACTGCTGGAAGAGAAGCTTGTGGATGTGCTACAACTCCTGCAAAGGCTCCGGGACCTGGTGGGAACTCAGGGGATCCTGGAGGGAAGGGGGTGCTGGGAGTGAGCTGGGAGAACCAGAGCGAGGTGATGGTAAGACGGGCCAAGGAGAGTCTATAGGGGACACTGTAGAGAGCAAGGGAGGCTGGGAGGTTGAGGCAGGGGCTGATGGGAAGCCTGTGTGGCAGGCCCAGGGCTCTGGTTCTCACAGTCAGCAGGTGCTCCTCCATTGACAGATATAGAATGGAGCCAGGAAGGGAGGATGGGGACAGGAAGGGAGGATGGAGACAGGAAGGGAGGGAGGAGACAGGAAAGGAGGGAGGAGCCAGGAAGGGAGGATGGGGCAGGAGAGGATAAAAAGGAGCACAGAGAGGAGATGTGTGGCTACTGTACCAGCTCAAAGAGCTGCACGGAAGCCTCTAGGAGCCTCTCCGCTCCACATGCTGAGTGGAGACATGGAAGCCACAATCTGATCCAGCCTCTCTCATCTCTCTTGAAGAACATATCAAAGAGAGCCCTAGGGAAGATGTTGCTGAATGCCCTGGACCGGAACCCCTCACAGGGTAGGTAAGGGTCCCTCAGTTTTATCGTCCCCAACCATAAAATTGTTTCATCGTTACTTCACAACTATAATTTTGCTTTGAATTGTGATGTGAATATCTGATGTTCAGGATGGTTGTAGCCCACAGGTTGAGAGACCCACTGGTCAAGGAGTTAAGCAGGAACATAGGGGCAGCGCTGGGCAGGGCTGGGAAGCAGTACTGGGCAGGCAGTAGGCAAACCACATGGAAGAGAGAAGTGACTGGATACAATACCGAAATCTACCCTGGCTCCTGCCTTTTGTTTCTCTGCAGAGGGCACATGTGGCACCTTGGCCATCCTGGACACCTTGCACCAAGCCTTGGTTGGCTGTGAGCTCCTACAGAGAAATCCCTCAGAACCAGCATCCACGGCTCCCGCACACACAAACCCCTTCCTCATCTCCTGCTGAGCTCACTGGCCCAGCCTTGGGACACTGTGGCCATCATCACCACCATCAGACCAGCCTTGACCACAACCAGACTGACCACCATGGGACTAGCACTGGCCGTCACTGGACCAGCCGCCATGGTCATCCTGACTACCATCAGTCCAGTCTCCATGATCAGTGGCCACTGCTGGACTGTCTTCCACCATCTGAACACTCTCCACAAATGGTCTGACTCTTGTCACTCCCTCAGAACTCTGGCAGCCAAGGTTCTTTCCAGTACTGGGTCTGGTAGCTACCCCGTTCTTGGGCCTCTCACATTCTCTCAGAATCCCTACATTGAGAGCCTGAAGTTGCTAGATCAGCCTGAACCTGAGGCTATTGCCCTCATCCTGGGCACAGTATGTAGTACATTCCAGAATCTCTGCCCTAGAGTCCTGAGATCTCTCCCTCCCCCACTCCCCCCCACCCCCCCCAGCACAGTCCTCTTCCACCATCATGCCTGCTGAGTAAACCCAGGCCCAGCCTCCAGGACACACCTAATCACTGGGGAATTCCCCACATTTAAGAAGTGTTGAGACTAGGAACAGCACAGAGTTCCAGGGAGAAAATGAAGTCTATAGGCTTGTGGGTGAAAGCTAGGCTACCGCCTCATCCAAGAGGAGAGGTGGGATGTGGGTAGGCACAGAGAGGAAAGGCACAACCAGATCATAGGAAGGATGCTACCCCCTCAGCAGTCAGTGCCCAAGGCCAGGCACCAAACAGGAAGGTCTGCACACAAGGACCTGCTTGCCCCAGCTGACTGACCTATGCTATTTGGCCTGCTCAAGAAAGGCCTGATCAGGCTGTATGTGTACTAGAACTTCATGTGGACAAATGTATAAAGAAAAACTCCATGGGACCAAGCAAAGGGGACCCCCACACACACTTTGGCAAGTCTAACTTTGTGAACTTGACTCTGACCGTCATGGGAAAGATAAAAGAAAAATCACCGAGTACTTCTTGGAGGAGGACAACCATGACCAGTGTGGACCATGCTCCCATATCCTGGGTTTTGTTTTCTGTTTTTCTCATGCTGGGATGTTCCAGCACTGCAGGAGCTCCCAATCATGCACACCCTTGGCCTCATTCTGTTCTCTTCAGCAAGCTGTCATCAAGAGAAAATATTTCACTGGGGCCTGAAAAGTGCATTAGAACTTTGACAAACTGAGAAGGGAAGTGCTTGCCACACAATTCCCAGAGCTGGCCTGTGCCAGCCAAAGGAGGGGAGATCAGAGACAAGTTCAGGCTCATTAAAACAGCCATGATCACAGGTGCTGTGTTTGGCTGTTTTACATTCTTTGAGGAGGATCCCCCTATGTGCCTAGGTTAGACTCAAACTCCTGGGTTTAAGCTATCCTCCTGGCTCCCAGGTATCTGGAACAACAGGCCATAGTCCCATATGCAGCTAGCTAATCCTGAAATAACAGAACACCTACTTCCTACATACACTTTTTATTATGTCACTAAAGGCTTAGCTCCTGGAGTTCCTTACCCAGCACATGGAGTCAGCCTTTAGCAGAAGACAATCTGAAGAGACAGTCATCCCTGACTCTATCAGAGAGTCATGGACCACCTCACTAGGAATTTGAAACATCTGGTTACCAGGCAGTTCTAAAGGAAGAGGCTGGCCACATGCAAGACCAAGTAAGCAACGAAAGCAGAGGATGCATATCCCAAGGACGAGCCAAGAATTGCTCGTAGTCGTACAACCAAACAGATTAAAGAACTCTCCCGTAGGCTCAGAGATGATGGTGGGAACAAGAAAGGACTCCAAAGCCTAAGGACACATCCTAGAAAATTCTAGCACTGAACACAGAGATGAAAAGTCTAGGAACAGGGAGCATGAAAATCCAAGACATGTTGGACAGCTACAACATGTGTAACTAAGGGGGAGAGGGACACAGACAAGAGTTAAAGCATAGACTTTGAATGTCCCCACACTCCTGACAAACACCAAAGCTCAGATCCAGAAGACACCAAAAGAACACAAGCAGAATAAATGTGAAACAAAATAAAAATTAAAATGACATTGAAGCCAGGCGTGGTGATGCACACCTGGAATTCCATCACTCAGGAGGCTGAGGCAGGAGAATCAGGAGTCTACAGCCAGCCCAAGCTAGATGGCAAGAGCTCATCTCAGAAAGGACAACAGGAGTGGGGAGAGAGTGAGACACAGAGATGAGAAACAACCTAATATTCACTGTGTCTTGCAAAATTACCATTCAGATGGAAGGAGTGGAGATTGTCAGACAAAACTCATCGGGGCTTGCAAAAAACAAAGTTTTTGGGAGAAGGGGAATTTTATAAACAAACATTTTGGATTCATACAAAGAAAAAAACCCAAAAGAAAGAATAAGCTAAGGTAGAAAAATCCTTTATTTCTCTTATTCTTTCTTACCTAACAACAGTTTGTCAACGATCTGAGAACAAAGCATGCGTTGCATTCAGCTTTTGTGAGTGAAATGCTCAGCACAGGCACAAGGGCAGCGAGGGAACTGGGAACATCTTGCCATTGTGGAACCTGGGAAGCTTTGCTGCCCATGAAGCAGCACAGTTGTTGAAATGGACTTGGATAGATGGGTGTTAGAACAGCCACTAGGAAAGGAAGGGAGGGAGGAGCGGCAAAGGATAGAAGGTGGGGTTACAGAAAATGCTTAATCAGAACCACAAACGGCAGAGTATGAGCCGAAGTCAGAACAAAGGGAGTTAGACATGAACAGTCAAGGGAGAGACATCAGCACACTGTCAGCATCACTGCCAAATATTAATGGTCTTATTATAACAACCAAAGGCTGAACTAGCCCAGCATGGTCTACAACTTTAATCCCAGCACTTGGAAGGCAAAAAGGCAAGTAGATCTCTGTGTATTTTAGTCCAACCTGGTCTACACAGAAGTTCTGGACCAGCCAGGGCTGTACAGTGAGATTCTGTCTCAAAATGAAGTAAAATTAAATGGTAGGAAAGTATATATGTAAAACACCACCAAAATGCAGTGGTTCTCAACCTTCCTAATGCTGCAACCCTTTAATACAGTTCCACATGTTGTGGTGGTGACCCCCAATCATAAAATTATTTTCATTGCTACATCATAACTATAATTTTTATACTCTTATGAGTCATAGTGTCAATATCTGATATGCAACTCTCATGGAAGGGTTGTTTGACCCCCCACAAGGTTGAGATGCGCTTCTGTTAGTTAGGTAAAGCGGTTCCTATATTCACTGGTTCTGATCATTCTTTTGCCCTGTGCTTTGAGTACATGAAGGGTGTTTTCCATTTGAAGAGTGGAGAGAGCTCCCAGGTGTCTGTGAGAGTTCCTAGGTCTGTGTGGATGTCTGTATATCTTGCCTTCCAAATTAGGTTATGGATTATTTTGGATAGAACCTCATTTTTTATGGAAAGTATCTCCTTTCTATGCTTAGTCAACAACCACATGGACCTGTGATCAGGACCCGCGCATCCTGTGAGGCACACCCTTAACCACTATTTCTAGAGCAAGCCCCTGAGGATGAGGGGGACATTCACCCTTCTCCAAGCAATCCACTACTCAGCTTAACACAATTATCCCTGTTAATGCTACTAAATCCTTCCAAAGTTTTTCCTTCTATGATTACATACTCTCTGCTGTCTCTCAAAGTTGGTCAGCATTCAAGAAAGAAAAAAAAAATCAATACTCTGGCAAAAATAAAAAACAGTCTGCAGACCCCCAAACCAATCCTTTTCAAGATGGTCCGTGCTGACCTTTGCCAAGCATACCCCTCTACAGCTAAGACACAGACATATTCCAGTTTATCCTCCGCTGACTGACAACTATGAAGCACAGAAGACTCAGCTTGCTCACCTTCCCCAAGCTTGGCAAAGTCCTTGTTCAGCAGCTCTTCAGCTGTGAGTTTGGAGAAGTTGTCGTCATCAAAAGGATTCCATGTGGAGCCTTCTGAAGCATTAGAGACATTCTGCTGTGAAGTCCGTGGAGAGCCTGAGGGAGTGGTGGTTGCAGACCTGGGAAGGTGCGCACCCCGAGGGTGAAGGGAAAGAAAGTTAAACAAGGCCAAAGGACCCAAATGATTTTCTCTTCATTATGGTATCAGCTCTTTTCTCAGTTAAACCATAATTTCCCAGTGTTTTCCTAAAGGATTTCCCACAAATCTGGAAAGCTTAGTCTTTACAAATGCTGTCTCCTTCACTTCAGCTCTCAGGAAATCTTGCAGCTTGCCTGTCTTTTGCAAGGCCCTTCAGGTTAGGATCTACAGCAAGCTATGCTGAAGCCTGTGTGTCAAGCAAATATAATCAATCCCCTTTTCTTGGCAGCCTCTGACCTTCCAGGATCCAGGTAGTACTAAGCTATCATCCCATGTTCAGAACATTGTTCAATGGCAGAAGCGTTTTATCACTAAACAAACAAACAAACAAACAAACATGTACCACTACTTTGTATGTTTACATCACCCATTTTTCTTTCAGCCTTTCTTGACTTAAATATGATTAACCTTAGATGACATGGTTTCAAGGAAGCTACGGATCTAAAATTACACTGACACAATGGTCAGATGTCACAATGGTCACAATGGTCACAATGGTCAATAAGACTGACTATACGTGAAGCAGAGAACCAGCAACTTATCAGGTTCATGAAGGCTGGCCAAACACACAAATATTTCATGCTAAAACAGTGTGATTTATGGTTGTAAGAAGAAAGTCCCTAGACAAAGTACTTCACGAGAGGAAAGAGCAACACCTCACACAAACCTAAGGAGTCAAAGCATGCTCCCTCTGGGACAGGGAAGCAGCAGTTCCAAAGGTCACAATGAGCCAAGTCACCTGTGCAGACAATGCTTGCTGAGACAACACCTTCTAAGTGTTGAATGTCCAAAGTATAATTGTCAGTAAGGGAGAATTAAGACAGACTGAGCACAGAACAGATGGGAGAATGGAAACTGAGTCTTATGATCTGGACAGTGCATACACTGTGGTCTCTTACTAAATACAGACATGTACTGGCACGTGCTTACTATCACATCTCCACAAGCTTATGCAAACAATCATATGGTAGTAACCCAGAGCAGACCTTGTCCACATGGTAAGAACAAACATACTTAGATTTATTGAGACTGGCCTCAGCTGCAGGTGCCTGAAGCAGCTGGGTTGATTTGCTGGCAGGAACCCCAAAGACTGCACTGTGGGTTACATCACTGAGAATCCTTCTGTGCCCAGCACGTTGGGTTTTGGGGGAAGATGGAGGAGTGAAAGATCCAACTTTCTGTCCCTGGATGGTTGGAGGTGGAGTTGTCTGAACTTTTGGCTGTTGTCTCGCTGAGGCTTGAATCTGCTAGGGAGAGAGAAATGCAAAGCTTCATTATGAGTGGAAAAAAAGGAGGAGAAAGAAATGGAAAAGAAAAACAAATCAACATCCAGGTATAAAAATACTCCATTT